GGCAGAATGAAGGTCCAGTTCATAAGGGAATGAAGACAGCCTTCAATACTTAGGAGGGAACTGGACCTCAGGGGCGCAGTAGGGCCAAGTGATTTGGTTTCCTATTGAACACCCTAATGGACACCGTCTTCCTAATGAACACACGGCCTACCCAAGGGCAGCTCTCACATGCTGCCATCTGGGACGCAGTGTACATTCTATGTAGAACATTCTTGCTATATGCATATCACAGTGTGGAATAACCAGCTGCCGGGATGAGCAACCAACACTAAAGTCACAGAGACCACTGGGCAGGGCAGCTGGTGATCTGGTCCCTGGAGAACAGTGACAACTTGCCACATGCCTCTTTACCCACAGGATGCACCGTCCCACATGCTAGCTGCTTGCCGGGGAAATGCATGAGCGTGCACCGAGGAGGGGAAGCCACAGTTCCATCTATTTCCTCAGCTCATTTCCTTTTCACGATAAGTTGTTGCCCACTCTTCTGCCCTAGGAACTTGGACACTTACACTGGATTCCCAAAACCTGATTGTCCATTCAAGTTGTCCTACTATGACACTTTCCTGGTGAAACACAGATGCCCCTAGATTTACGATGGGGTTACGTCCAGCAACCCTTTATAAGTTGAAAGTGTCCCAGGTACAAAGTGCATCTGATCCACCCAACCTACTGGTCATCTTTGCTCACAACACAGCACACCATAGAGCACCAGTAGCTTCCCTTCTGGACCGCATGGCTAAGGGGAGCTGAGCCTCACTGTTGCTACCAACATGGTGAGAGAAGATGGTAGCCTGAACATCACCAGCCCAGAGAATACCAAAACTCAAAATTCAGAGTGTGGTTTCTACTGGATGTGCATTCCTTTCAGATCATCCTAAAGTTGAAAAATTATGAGCAAAACCATAGTCAGGGGCCTCTGTACCAGTGTTCCAAAGTGAGTGGCGGACACAGGAACACACAGAGAAACTGTAGTAATCTCCCTGTGTCTCACCCAAGCTGCCCAGGACTACAGAATCTCTCCAGTGACACCCAACCCAGCCCTGCTTTACTCGGGCCATAAATCACAAAATGACTCCTTCTGCAAAGAGGTGAGAGCCTGGTGGCAATGTCCGCTATCACTGCGACAGACAGGAGTGTTCTGAGCGATTGCTCTGCGCCCCCAGGGAGTGGTCCTGGTGAGAGTGTGGGTTCTGAAGGGGAGACTGATGGGGAGATAAGATAAGCTTTACAGGCGGCCACCACACATGCCACACAGGCTGTGCAGCCTCCCAAACAGGAACACGGATGGCGACTGTCCCTTTCCAGGCTCAGAGCAGCCAGGATGACATCACCCCCTTCAGAGGCTGCTCTCATCTTTAGCCAAGGTGGAGCCAGGCTCTCGCTTCTCGGGGATGCAAAACGCAGCTAGAGAGGTTCACTCTCACCCTCTCCTCCCTCTCACCTTCCTAACGGGACCCGCCTTAGCCTTTGGATGGTAAAGATCAAGGAAACCCTGCATGTCCTGATAAGAAAAGATGTCTGATAGATAGATATACTCAGAGAAATGCCAGCACAAGGTGACACGAGGGACGCTCACAAGCTCTGGTGACTCAGGCGACATCAAGGCTCAAGTCAGTGCCTCTCGGACAAAGCTATTTCTACAATTTTTTTTTTTAACTTAGAAAGTTATTACCTATAGCAAAGTCTACGCCTCAATGTCCCTTTGCCTATAAAAATGAGGTTAGAGTGGTAAGTGCCTACCTCCTCAGCCACTGGGGGGATTCATCTTAGTGGTGAAGCTCAGTAAGTGTTATAAAGGGGGAAGGGGACACAGGTGTAGGCCCAGCTGAGACAGGAGGATCACAAGTTCAAGCCAACCTGGGAAACTTAGTGAGACGCTGACTTAAAATTTTTTTAAAAAGGGGGCAGGGGGTCATCTGGGAATGTAGCCAGAGTGCGTGCGTGTGTGCTAGGCAAGCACTCTAACCACTGAAAGAAAGATGGAAATATGGGAAGTTGGCACCCTTTGGATGGAAAAAAATGGGCCAATGGGGCCGTCTCAGGGTGATGTAAAAGCCCTAGCAGCATCAGAGAAGAGGGGAACAGGGGGACCAAATTCTCCTTGCACAAACACCGGCTACACAGGCTTTTACTGCAGGCTGGGGAAGGCTGTCTGGTTCCCTGCTCTGTGAGATGGCCCGGGCCCTTCCCCACCACTGGAACACTGGCTATGGGGAAATGTGTTCGGAGCCCAATAACTGGCTTGACAAACATCAGTGAGCGCCCAGCCCATACACGATTTGGAAATAACATGAACTGTTTCCTCCTTTAGGCTGAGACCTCCACAGCTAACCAAAATCACATGACTGGTGCCAGTAGAACAGCCTTGCCCTTTATAGGTGCTCAATAAATGTTTAATGACGACAATAATGACACCTTGTATCTAGGTTCAGACAATTCATGAGCTTTCAGATTTGATCATATGCTGCCCTGCTGAACTGTACTGGATCAAGTTCCTCCACCCAAGAACCCCAGGGCCTGGGCGACACGACACCCCACTGCTACCTGTTGGCCAGCTGCTGCTCGAAGTCCCCACACTGCCGCAGGAGCTCTCCACAGGTGGCTATTATCCTAAACAAAACAAAACGCACTTCAAGTTCAAGTACCTGGAATGCCAACATTTACCAGACAAACATTGGCTCATTCATAAAAATTCTAACTATTCACTCCTTTTGGTGGAGCTGTGCTCTGGTGAAGTCGTGAACCCTCTGCTGGACCACCTGAGCCATTTCACTAATTAGTAATTAATATAAAGGTAAATGGTGGTCCCTTCCAATACCTTCCATGTTACTAGTGTCTCTGTTATGAACCACAATTCTATCCAAGTGTCTTTACATTCCAAAAATATTGGGCTTTATCTTTGAGAAAATGGTTTGGAAATTCCTGTATAATTTTAAAATCCATATGTATTACTTACAATCTGTTAGATGCCTACTATTTATAAGGCATAGAACTGTTTTGACACTAGACGTCTAATCCTGTGAAAGGCAGATGAAGATTGATCCATTTGCTTCTCAGAGATAAGCCTAGTGACCATCACGTCTGTATTTCATGATCTTTTAATTTCCAAGTAATTTTACACCAGACCTTAAACCCCAGCTAGATCCCTTCAACAGCAAACTCATAAGGTCAGGACAAATCCAAGGATTAAAAATATCTTTAGTTAACTTTTAACTTTCTCTAAAAGCGCCTGTCGTCACCAGGGTATCTGGGCATTCCATCATAAGAAAGGTTTATGAGAAAGTAAAATATTCCACTAGCCTCAGGTGCACAGAAAAAATCTGTGCAGAATATGTCCCTGTGTGCTACGCCACCACAGATGACAGGGGACTCAGTTAACCTCTAGAACATCACGTCATTAAAAATTAAAAGTCCAAAACAGAGTCCACGAGGTGGTGATCCAACACGGTCCTGGGTGGTCCCGGGTCACTCTGGACAGCCTTCAGTGGGCCTGGCTGTGCTCTGGCATGGGTCACTGCATTGCACACTACATGTGTCACCAGTACTTGGGCCAGGGACCAGGCAAGAAATGTAAGTGGGTGACGAGGGCCAGACGAAGAATGGCTAGTCCCTTTAGAACTTGCATCCATGAGATTTCTTTTTATCCCAGCCAACAGAACAGCTGTTAGGCCACTTGGGAGCAGAGAACCTCGGCACTACAGAGAACACATGCCAGTCTCACAGGGACCTCGGCTGCCACCGCAGTGCCACATTGTGACAATGCAGGCATGATAACACCAGAGCATCCAATTTTGTAGGCAACATTAGAAATTTGGGCGATGTTAAATCCGGTTTGTCAGTGTTGGTGACTAATCCAATTTAAATGCTATGATCAAAAAACATGTCTGTAGGGCAAATCTGGCCATGGGCCACAGTCTGTACCCTCCAGCTGGTCATGTCCAGGGCCAGACCTTCTCAGGCCACTCCTGATTGTACTCCCACCTACCTACAGGCTTGGAGCAACAGGGCACCTACTCAGTGGCCCACAGGTCACAGGACTTCCCCAGGATCTGGCCACTGACAATGGCTTGAGAGGGTCACCTGGATGCCTCTCACAAAACTTTTGTGTGATCCTTTCCAGGACACACGGTGTTGTCATACCACAGAATGTGTGGTTCTCAGATCCCAGAGGCAAGACCGCTGTTCATCCTCTAAAATATAAGCAACAAATCATTTCAGGGATGAAAAAGCTGCAGGCTAGAAGAAAAAACCTCACAACAAACATAAAAAATTAAGTCATTAAAGAAGATGAAGCTGGGCACAGTGGCACACACCTGTAACCCCAGGGACTCAGGAGGCTGAGGAAGGAGGACTGTCACTCCCAGGCCAGCCTGGGCAACCAGAGAGCCCCTTCTCAAAATAGCAAATGAAAAGGGCTGGGGTATAGCTCAGTGGTGGAGGGCCCCCGGGTTCAATCCCCAGCACCCCTCAAAAAAGGGAAGACAAAGCTTTCCTAAGAACTTTAATTTATGAGCGGAGGAGTCTTTTTGGTGTTTTGTTGCTGCTGTTGGTTGGTTTGGTTTGGTTTTTGTTTATTGACGTGTTTTTGGAATCCAGAGTACTAGCTTTTTTAAAAAGGCAGTTGAAAAGCTGAGTGTAGTGGCGCCCATCTGTAATCCCAGCTACTCAGGAGACCAAGGCAGGAGGTCACCTGGGCAACTTAGCAAGACCCTATCTCAAAATAAAATTAAAAGGGTTGGGGATGTAGAGCTCTCCTGGGTTCAATCCCTAGTAATCTTAGAAAAATAAATAAATAAAAGAGGCAGTGAGATTAAAAAAAAAAAAAAAACACCTGATAAACACATTTATTGTACAATTAGGGCCATGCTTAAATTGCAACCCCCATGTTACCTAATGGAGTTCTGAAAAGCTGTCCAGTCTTCTTGAAAAAGGGAGTTGGGAGGAATATCGTCCAGTTTGCACTTCTTTCGTATCGACTGGAGAGCACTGGTGAAATCGGACACATACCTAGAGGGAAGCGGAAAAATGACAGGTGTGTGAATAAACTCCGCCACTCCAAAGACGCCTGCAATTCCACAGCTTTGGACAAATTGCTGATTACCTTGAGAATGTCTGCGAGTGGCTCCCACCATGGGAGGAGAACACTAACAAACCTCTGACCACAAAAATGCCTTCTCGTTGTGGCAAGACCATCCTAACCACCTGGCAGGGCAGCCTTGAGAGATGCTCAAGATGAAGAGGAAGGTGACAGCCACTAAGTCAACTCCAATGACAATCAGGCAAGAGAGGGTGCTGGTAAATTCCCCTCATTCTAACAGATGCATGTCTTTGGAAGCAGATTTGAAGAACTGTTTTGAAACCCACGTGTCTACTGTAATAACCAAATGTGACACACGACACTGTGGGGCAGCTGCGGACATTCAGGGTACTTTTGTAAGCGAATCCCCTGAATTTAGACCCAATGGCCATGGCAGACGACCACACCTCCACAGCAGGCAAGGGCCCGGCTTCATCAGCACAGGATGGTAAACGTGGGCTCAAAGCCGGAAGACCCTCCCTCATGGACCGCAGCCTGCCCTCGCTGTGTGAACATGCTTCTTTCCTTGCACCCTCCACGCTATAATCAAACAACTCAGTGTGTGTGTGTGTTTGCTCAGTGCCTGTTGCTGTGGGGGCCTGAGAGGTCTGTGAGATCAGGGACTGTGCCTCTGTAACTCATGATGGGTCCTGAGGAACTAGCACTGGGCAGGGCATAAAGGAGACACTGGAAATAGTTCCTGAATGAATGACACTTGCCTGGCACTGTTGGACAAGCGCCTCTGGGTCATTGGGCCTCAGTTTCCTCATCCTTAAAGTGGATTTAATGATGTCTTCTGTATCACCTCACAGAATTGTTGTGGTGATAAAATTAAATAAATGACATAATATACATTCTCTGGAAAGAATAAAATGACTGTTGATGTGGGATGGGTGGTGTTTCTAAGGATTTAAATTTCTTGGAACATTAACACATCAGTTCATGTCCTTGGGCAGGTCTGGTGGTGGCAAGGATGAAGTGAGGGTTCTGGCCTTTGGAAACCAAAAAACTTGTGACTTTGGGTACATCACAAGCAGCTTTCCCTCTCTGCCCTCTAAATCAAAAGCTCTGAGTGAGGGAGGTAGAACATGAAGCCCAGGGCCTGAAGAGTAAGTGTGTGCAGTGGAGAGAAAGGCCTTTCAAGGAGCCAAGTGGAAGAAAGTACCTCAGACCACATCCCCACCTGCAAGCCACACTGCTCCTCCCTCCACACAGGCTTCGGGCTTTAAAGCAGAAAGCTACAAAACTCGTGTTCCAGGGATGGCACCTTCCCTACCCATCAAGAGAGGGGACAGCTCCCTGAGGGAATTAGTTGTTAGGGAGCCTGGGCCTCAAGGGCAAATTAGCAGGGCAATGCCCAGGAACACCAGCTTCAGCTGTGGGAGGTTAAACAACTGGGTCACACCCTGCAACTATGACAAGCATGCATTAGAAGAATGTGCCATGCACTGTCCCCACGCTCTGCAGAAGTTCCTGACAGCGTCCCGGGGGAAGGTGAGCAGACAGGATATCTCATTATCCTTCCATCTGGAACTCAAAATGGGTTTATCATGAAATCTCAGATGAAAGGGTAGCCTTTACCACATTATTTTTGTCTTCAAACTCTCCAACTCTCTCTCACTATGCACATTTCCAAATGTCTACACACAGAGTCTCTGTGTTTGGGATTTTAATTACAAGCTTTGCTTAATATCAAAACCACCATGGAAAGAAGGTATTATTATCATCAATTTACTCAGAAGGAAGATATTAAGACTCAGAAAAGACTGGTGACATGCTCAAGATCCTAACCAGTAAGTGCCAGGACCTGAGCCCAGGCTGGTCCCATTCCAGGGCCCTCCCACCCACCACAGCTGCCAAGTCCCTCATTCTGTGGCCAGTACATCGTACATCGCCTGCTGTATTCTACAGTTTCCCTCTAGTTCAAGCCAGGCCCGTCTGCTCCTCCCTCCCCCTGTGCCCCAAACACCCTCCCAAGCCCGCCTCACCAGTGAACCACGTCCCATCTGAACCCTGATGGAGTTAGCTTCAACCTGGTTTTCCTGACTAATTGTATAAACTTTAGCTATTTTAGTAAATCTTCCCTCCTAGAGGAGATGACCTGATTTCACCATACAGTTTGAATTTTTAATATGGATATTGTTTTTAAAAACAAAGTAAACAAATAATGAACAGAAGAACTAAAAGCAAAATTGTAAGTAGCAAAAGCTCAGAGAAGCAGGAGTTAGAGCAACAGCCTTAAGAAATCTCAAGACCTCACCTTTCATGTGGAGACAACATTTAAAGTTTGTTAAAATTTTTTTTCCTTAAAGTTTGCAGGGAAGAATCAGAAAACTAAAAGCAAAATGTTCAAAACTTAGTTACTCATGAGGTCTAAAAAGTGATTAGGAAGGGAGAAGACTTTCACATTTTTATGTCTTTTCATATTTTAGGGGGAATTATTTCTAAAAGCATCATTTCTGCTATTTCATAATAAAATTCTTAGATCAAAATTTAAAAAATCTTTCAGGGCTAGGGTTGTGGCTCAGTGGTAGAGCATTTGCCTAGCATGCATGAGGCACTGGGTTCAATCCCTAGCACCACATAAAAAGCTAAAGGAACTCAATAAAGGTCTTGTGTCCATCTACAACTAAAAATATTTTTTAAAAAATCTTTCCAGGACTGGGGCTGTGGCTCAGTGGTAGAGCACTTGCCTAGCAAGTGTGAGGCCCTGGGTTCGATCCTCAGAACCACATATGAATAAACAAATAAAGTGAAAAATCCATTGGCAACTAAAAAAATTTTTTAAAAAAATCTTTCCAGGGCTGGGGATGTGGCTCAAGCGGTAGCACGCTCGCCTGGCATGCGTGCGGCCCGGGTTCGATCCTCAGCACCACATACAAACAAAGATGTTGTGTCCACTGAAAACTAAAAAAATAAATAAATATTTAAAAAAAAAATCTTTCCATTCACAAAATCCTGATAGTGACATGAAAGAGTTAAAACTTTGATTAAATTTGTTGCTGTTGCTGCTGCTTTTCTTTTTCTGGGAACACATCTGGGCTCATCTGGGCACAGTTCCAGCCTTAATGCCGACACTTGGAGCTGCCCTGTGAAGGTGGTGACAGCTCATGGCAGTGACTGAGGGCTCTGGCTCAACAGCCCTTAGATCTCCCAGGGGTGAGCTTGGTATTTCTGGAATGACAAGAGCTTTCTAAACTCCCCCAGCAAAACTGCTTCAGTTCAATACGGGGAGTTCTGAGACTCAGGGCAACTTCCTTATGGAACACACTGCGAGGGAAGGTCCCTTGGAGAGCCTAAGAACGTACTTGTCTATAAACTAAGACTGGAGCCTATAACTTCCTGAGGACCCTTGCACCTCAATTAAACAGGTCAGAGGATCCAGCCTTATACAGCTTTCTTTTTCTTCTTTCTGACAAAATGTAATTTAACTTTCCCTTTATTTTCCTTTCCTTTGGGAAACATCGTGTGTGTGTGTGTGTGTGTGTGTGTTTGTGTGTCTAAGCCCATACACATGCAGGCATGCACACTGAGCTTTGCACATGCAAAGCATACAGTCAACCACTGAGCCACACCCACAGACCCTTCAGTAACAGCTTTACTGTGATATAACTCACACACCACAGAACTCACCCATTTTAAAGAACACAATCCAACAAGTTTTTAGCGTATTCCCAAAGTTGTAAAACCACTGCCACACTTTAAACCGTTTTCCTCAGCCCAAAAAGAAACCCACACCATTTAGCAACCATCTGCTGTCTTCTCTCAGTTCCCCTGGCCTCAGGAAACCACAAATCTACCTTTTTTTTATCTTATTTACAGACTTGACTACTCTGGGCATTTCATATAGATGGAATGACATAATATGGACTTTTGTGATTGGCTTCTGTCACTCAGCATGATGCTTATGTTGCTTATTTTGTATTTTTAATTATATTGGAATATATGTTTGTGCTCACTGATTTTAAAAAATAAAAAAAAAATAACTAAAAAAGCTAAATCTCCTATGACTACAGTCTCAGTTTCCCCAGATATAACCACTGTTTGGAGTGTCTTGCCTAACATGGGGTAAAAGTTCAGCAAACTTTTTCTATTAAGATCCAGATGGCAAATTTGTTGTTGTTGTTTTCTCTACACTGGGGATTGAATCCTGGGCCTTGCACATGCTAGGCATGTGTCTACCACTGGGCTACATCACCAGCTCCCAGACAGGAAATACTTTTGGACTTTTGAGTCACAAGGTCTCTGTCCCAGCTACTCAGCTCTGCCTTCACAGTGGGAAGGAGCCAAATGTCCCAGGCAAGTGAATGGCATGGATGTGTTCCAATAAAACTTTATTTATAAAAACAGATGGCAGAGCAGATTTGATTCATGAGCTGTAGTCTGCCCACTACTATTTGATAGGAATATGAGATACATTTTTAAAGTATAAAAAAGGACCAAGGGGCTGGGGCTGTAGCTCAGTGGTAGAGTGCTTGCCTAGCATGCATGAGGCACTGGGTTCGATCATCAGAACCACAGAAAAATAAACAAATAAAATAGAGGCATTCTGTCCATCTACAACTACCAAAAAAAAAAAAAAAAAAGAACTAGGACAGCACTTCTGGTTTTTTGTAAATAAAGTTTGATTGGAACAAAACCACATCCATTTTTTTCTGCATTACTTAAGACTGTGCAGGGCTGGGGATGTGGCTCAGTGGTAGAGCACTTGCCTAGCATATGCAAGGTCCTGAGTTCAATCCCCAGTGCCACCAAAAAGGACTATGCTGCAAAGGTCTCTATTACAGCAGAGACTGTAAGACCCAAAAAGACTGAAATATTCACTATCTGCCTCTTTTTAAAAAAACTGCAACCTTGCTCTAGAAAATGGACCCTACATTTTGTGTTCTTTTTGCATAATATATTAACTTTCTATATGATTCTGCAACTTGCTTTTTTCACTGAATACTGTTTTGAGATCTGTCCATGTTGATATGTGTAGGTCTAATTCATACTTTGCCACACAGGGTTACCTCACGAATATACCGCATCTTATCTAGCCACTGCCTAATGGATGGTCATTTAGGTTTCTTCAAACGTTCCGCCTTTACTAATGATGCTGCAATGAACATCCTTAAGAACATCCTCTTGGGCCCAGGTACAAGTGTTTCTCCAGTGTTCACAACAGGGATAAAGAACACGTGTATTTTTAATTGGGACAGACAGTGCCTTCCAACATGGCCTACCCTGTTTTAGTTTCCCCAACCTTACTTGGCAAAGAGGGATTTCAGGGCTGTCAGCAGGCCGCAGGTCCCCAAGCCGTTGGTGAGCCTGGCACATCTGTCAACAGCTGCAGATGCCAGACTGAAGAGCTTGTTCACAGAGTGGCTCAGCTCCTGCACACAGTCCATCACTTCCCCGTGCTCCTGGTCAGAGGTGGACAAGCAAGAGCCACGTGAGACTCAAGAATACCGTGACAGACAACACGAAGCAGGCAGCCCACCCAGCCCTCTCCTCTCCGGAAAAATCACTTGAGGTTATCGGAAATACTGTCCTCAACCAGGACAGCTCTTCTAGAGCCCGAGCCCCATGGAGAAGGACAGTTGATGTGGCCAGTGACGCCACAGAAATAACTCACGGCAGAAAAGCATGACCAAATGTCTAGGCTGTCCCTACATTTTACATCTCTTTCCCCTTTTCCTGTGATTATTAAGATAGTACTTCCTCCTCTGGCTCTCAAGCTAGGACTCTAATTCTCCATACCAGTCACTCTAAATAAAAAGGTAGCAGAAGGAAAATGTTTCCCTCAAAAGCATGAAAGTAACTGAAGCAGAAGGAACTTTCTAGGTAAAATGGGGAAATAGCAAGAGGCAGCAGATTTTAACTTCTGTAAGATCAGTTCCTAAATGTCAACGCACTTCATGCTGGACAACCTCAAGTGACATGAAAACAAAATCACCTTTAAAAGGAGAAGCGCTCGATCCCCTCCCTCCTGCCCACACAGTCCCCTTAAAGCACTGTCCATGGATGTTAAGCTCCTGTGCCATCCACATCATCTTCCATAAACAGAAGTCCCCCTTAAAAATAAGTTACTAGGGGGCTGGGGTCTCAGCTCAGTGGTAGAGCACTTGCCTAGCACATGTGAGGCACTGGGTTCGATCCTCAGCACCACATAAAAATAAATACATAAAATGAAGGTATTGTGTCCATTTACAACTATTAAAAAAAAAGTTACTAAATCAGAGTAAGCTTTCCAAAGAATTTAGGCCTCTCATTTTACTAGATCTCTATGAGGGATTTGAAATGGAACACCGGTAGCATATTTGCGGCCTCATTTTACATTTGGATGGCAAGAGCCCGTGAGGATTGAAAGCCATCTCCCCGCTCAGCTCTTTCTTTGTATACTTGACCTCACCCCCAACCCTCTGCCAGACTTGGCCGAAAGATCGGCACACAGAATGCTTCCCAAATGGCCAGTGGTGGCCCTGCCACGTTACCAAGGGCACAGCGCTGATCTGGATGAGGAGGTTGCTCTCCTCCATCTCGCCGTACTTCAGCAGGTAGGGTCTATAGGGTCCGTACACGGCATCCACCAGCTCCACGACTTTCACCAGGTTGTGCTCCTCTTTAGGGAATCGGAAATTAAAAACAATAATGAACAAAGGATCTGAATTAATTGCTACAGAGCAACGGGAGAGAGGTACACTACTGGAACTCTTCCTGTTTTATCTTCAGGGGTGTCTACATTTTGTTAATCTGCTTTGATCATTCCAGGTAGCTTCTTCAACCTCATTTCAGTAAATATTTGGATACATTTGGTTTTTGTGCATTGTGTGCTGAAAATACAATTGAAAGTACAATTAAGACACCCATCCCCTTAATCCTACAACCCTTGGTAGTTGAGGATCCCTTCAGTGAAAACTCTGGTCAGGGTTAGGTTCTGCTACAGAGAAAGGTTCTGAAGGAAGTCCGTCTTACTCTTCCGAGTGTCCTTGGACTTTAGGGAAAGAGGAGAGCCCAAGTTTAGTTACATACAAATTTAAAACATGTTTGTATCCAAAATGTACATGTGCTTATTCTACAGTGCAGCAATTCAACTTCTAAGGATTACACCCAAGGAGCAAACAATAATGCAGGGACACAGTGTACAAGCAAGAATGTTCTTGAAAACACTGCCAGGACAGGGCTGTGGAAGCCATCTGAAGGCGATGAGTAAGTGCAGCAGCCTGCTGACTGATTCCTCACAATCTCTGCTCCCCTCCAACCTGTCCTCACACTGAAGTCAGAACACTCCCCAACAGAAGCCTGGCCACATCACTGCCCTACTTGCCTCTTCCCAAAGATCTCTACTGCTCTTCAGCTGGAAGTCAAACATCTTTTCTAGAACCTGCAAAGCCTGACCTCAGGAAGTGGAAGATGGTGGCAATTAGGAGTGAAGGCCCTGGTTATGCATTCAGATGCCTGTTCCCTCAATAACAAAATGAGGGAACTGATGCCAACAATCTTAAAAGGCTTTTGTTGAGTAGATAAAATGTGCCACATGCCAGATCTTTAATATTAATTCTATAGCCACCTCCTCCTTCACTCTTCCCCTGGCTTCCAGCCTCACAGGAACTTCCAGTCCCACGCTGAGCCTCCTGTGTGGAAGGACCCTCTGTTTCCCTACCTCTTTTCATCCTGCTAATTCCTTCAATACTCAACCAGCTTGATTCTGTTGGGCTCAATTATAAATGCTTAGGACCACCTGTTTTCTTGATAGTGCTCATCTCACTTTCTAATCATACATTCGTCAAGTGTGACGACCTGATTCTCTCCCACTGCGTACTCTAGGGACGGTGTCTGCTTTTGCTCATCTTTGCATCCTCAGCTTCTAAACTCCAGTACAGTCCTCTGGTGTTTGAATGAGTAAGTTAAAAATATGTTGACCTATCCAGAATGTGGTCATGAAAAATAATTGCATATATATTTGTGTATGTGTGTATCCTGATTGGGAACCAGGATTCTCACTGCAGGAAATGGGAGATGTAAGTGCGCTTGAAAAAGCAAAAAGTAAAAATTTTATAGCATTAAATCTGACTGGGAAATATCAGTATAAATTGCCAATTTTTTAAAAAATATGTATTTCCTAGCTCTCTCCACCAAAAGAGCCTAGAAGTAATGATACCTCAGCAACAATGAACAGCTGTGGTGTTCAGACTCTCATTTCTAAATACCAATTTTCACCAGAAAAAACTAGTCTCCCTGGAAAAACAGCTGACTCCAGGTGAGGGGTAAAGGAAAGCACAGGTGCTTCTGGAATAGTCTGTGCCAAAAAGCAAGGAAGCATTCAAAGACTGATTAGAGACATGCCAAAAAGATATGAGAGTCAGCTGAATGGGGACCCACAGTCCAAAAATGAAATAATTTGGACATCAAAATGATTGGTAACAATGAGGGGGCTGGGGATATAGCTCAGGTGGAAAAGTGCTTGCCTCAAATGCACAAGGCCCTGGGTTCAATCCCCAGTATTGCAAAAAAAAAAGGATGATAACAATTAAATCATAACACACTGGATTTTTTAAAATCCATGAATTTTTGTCCATCAAGTGGGCTTCTTTGTAAGTATTAAAAAAATAATAAAATATTTTTAAAAATCCATGAATTTATAGTGACATCAAGGAGGCAGAAAGGGGGGCTGGGTGTGGCTCAGTGGTAGAGTGCTTGCCTAGCATGCATGAGGCACTGGGTTCGATCCTCAGCACCACATAAATGTAAAATAAAGACATTGTGTCCACCTAAAAAAACTTAAAAAATAAATATTTTTTTTAAAAAAAGGCAAAAAGGGAAATTCTTCTTCATAAGAGAATGCCAGCAGATAATTGTAGAATGAATGATATAATTACAAAATCACCATTTTACAATCAGCACTGTAAGAATTCATTAAGGCAAGGCTCATCGATGGGTGCTGATATCACTGGGCAATTGTTTCTTGGGGAATGGCATATTCCTATGAGCTCACAGTATCACCCCACAAATTACCTAATAATTACAAAGAGGAAAAGGTAACGACAATGGGGAGATCTGGAGGATACATTTACAATGTGATTAATCTAACCTGTCACCGGCAATTCGACATTATGTGTTTCCTGAGGTGATGCAATGGGAAGTCACATCAGCATCAATGCAACAGTTTTGCTAAAAATGTTTGAGATAAATCTACTAATAAAAGCCTGGAATGTGGGGCATTCCATAAGAAAACGACCTTTTCTTCTTCAAAAACGTCCATGTCATGAAAAACAAAAAAGAAAAATGAAATGACTGTTGTAGATTAAAAGAGATTATAATCTACAGAAACAGGACAATCGAGGCAATGTATGTACGTGAACCGGATGTCTGTGCAAGGCAGAGGTGGGGAAGCCGCTATGCAGACACCTGTGGAACTGGGGAAACCCGAGCACTGACTGCACATTAGCTGACAATATGAAATCAAAATTAAATTCTTGGGTGTGATAATAATATTCTACTGAAACCAAATTTAAGAATATAAACATACGGATACTCATACGCAAAATCTGCACATACATATAATCCCAAAATGCTGTTTTAGAAGGCAGGTTGAGGATGATTTTTTTTCCCCTTCCTTGTATTTTCAGGATTTATCTATAATAAATACATATTGCTTGTTAACTATAAAATCAACTTAAGTTACATTTTAAAAATTTGCTTTCTTTTCCATAATCTTTTATATTTTAAATTATATCATGTATGGGTATTTGTTAGTAAAATAACAGAAACATGTTAAAGGTAAAATAAAAGTTAGAAAATATAGCTGAAATATATTTGATAAACAATAGGAAAAAGTCCACTACATAAGAATCTTTTAGGAGCATGTCAAAATTTTAAACATGGTTATTTCTAGCAAATAGGACTATAGGAGACTATGTAACATATATTTTTGTTGCTTTTTACAAACATATGTAATAACACTATTTTAAATAAATTACTCTAAGATATTAACAAGAAATAGATTAAAACTCCAAGCAAAACAGGCAAATAAGCAACCAAAAAAGAAAAAGAGATCATTTTATAATATAATTTTCAAACTTGCTAATGCTGAAGTAAATTAAAATGATATATTATTAATTGTATAAGAATCTGACAACGATGGAAGAGGCAGGAGCGACCTGGTGCCTTTATTCACTACTATACAAAAATTGGCAGAAACTTTCTAAAGAGCAAAGTAGGAAAAACATCTTTCAATTTTCCACTTCTTCATGACTACAATTTAAAATTTATCCTAAGGACCAATCAGAATTAGGTTTAAACATTAATGGGTAATATAGTTCATAACAGTTGTACTTATAATAGTGGCTAAAAAATTATAAGCCACTGCCAGGTGCGGTGGTGCACGCCTGTGATCCCAGTAACTCGGGAGGTTGAGACAGGAGGATCATAAGTTCAAGGCCAGCTTCAACAACTTAGTGAGACCCTGCCTCAGAAGAAAACATTAAAAAAGGGTTGGGGATATAGCTCAGTAGTAAAGTACAGATGGGTCCAATCCCCTATACAAAAAAAAGATTAATTTAAAAAACAATTAAATATAATTGTTTATAATTAAATATATAATTTTTAAAAAATTTAAAAATACGTGTGTGTGTGTGTGTGTGTGTGTATACAATAAAGGTATTGTGTCCATCCACAACTAAAAAAACATAGATTAAAAAAACAGATCTTGGGCTGGGGATAGAGCTCAGTTGATAGAGTGCTTGCCTCACATGTACAAGCCCTGAGTTCAATTCCCAGCACCATAAAAATATATAGCACATCCTAAATATTTTTATTAATGCTTAAAACAACGTGCATTTACATTTGAATTACCGGGAAGAAATGCAATGCTGTCAGTGACTCTGAGTGATGAAGCTATGGGTCACTTTTAGCCTCTCTTTTATTTTTTGTGTTTCCAAAGTGTTTTTCAATTAAAAGTAAAACAAAACATTATTTTGAAACCTTCCACAGCCATTGTCACAGATCTGTACTCCCATGGCCGATGACAAAGCACTCCTCTATCTGACTCTGCAGAGGGTGGTTCTCCTCGCTTAGGAAAGTCCATGGCCGTGGGCGGAATGCAACCTGTCCCCTGCCCTGCCTTCGTCCCACTCTGCTCCAGCAGGATCCACGGCCTGCACACTCTGTAGCCACCTGCCAGGGCAGCGTGGTCCTCTGGAAGCCACCCACATCCACCATGCCTCTCCCACACCTAAGGCGAGTGTGCCAAAAACACCTCTGACTCATCAGGAACCTGAACAACAAACACACTCCCTGGAATGTCCAGGCAATTAAGCACAAATGTCATTAAAGAGAATCACTATTAAATAAACGCAGTGAGTGACACACAGCAGCCACATGGCAGAACAAGGCCTTCCTCAAGCAACTTCCTGATTTGACAGCAGCATGTGTCACGAGGTCTATGATATCTAAAAATTGATGATGGTTTTAACACAGGCGGAAAACAGCTAGGAAAATGCACCATCCCATGCATCATCCCCCCAAATGGGAATGAGGAGTGAGTGCTTTTCTCTCAGCCACCAGGAGAGCCCTTTTCCACACAGCTACCTGTAGTCCTAACACAGCTCCGCTGTCACGACAAACTTGTTGTTGCCCCTTCAGAAGCCCCTACAACCTAAGTGTCCCCTCAAACTTACTTTTGAGGTTGAACTGTCTAAGGTTTCGTGACTCGAAATGAAGAGAACACTGTCCTCCCAGGGAAGCCTGTTGCCAGCTCCTGCCACCTGTGTCTACCTGCCTCTTTCACATGCTAAGCCACAGCAGAAGGTCCATCAGTTCCCAGAGCTGAGAAAGCACTAGACAATACCTGGGATACTAGACAAGTATATTAAAGCCACTTCCCTAAGGGCAGTTTCCGTGGACAACCTTCCATATGTGTTGGAATCCTCCCCTTTCTGCACAGTCCCCTGCAAAAGAAACAAACCCAGGCCCCAGAAGCTGCAAAACAGCAAGTAAAGACAAGTCGGAGAAGGGAGGAAGGAATGCCTACGTAGGTGGGGGAGCAGTGCCACCTCCAACCCCTTGGCAAAGTGGGCAGTGGTGTCGTAGAACTCCAGCAGTTTGGTGAGCTCCAGCTCGGGTCCCGCTCTCTCCACGCCAGCGCTGAGGCAGATAGGCAGGGAGGGCACCAAGGCCCCCAGGGTCTGGATCAGCAGCACTGTCACAACCTCATGAGGGTTCTTGAAAACCTGCAGTGGGAAACAGGCAGCTGTGTCAGCTCACGCCACCAACAGGACAGAGTTCTTAAAGAAGCTGTTTTCTGGATCACTCGAAGAAATCCCCTTAATAGGTAAAAAGTGACTAGTCAAGAGCTACAAGCCCAAAGGTCCCCTCATTGCAGAGTGAACGTGCTCAGAAAGCACAGCAAATCTGCAGGACCTGGAAGGCGTCCAGAATGATGGGACAATGTCCTGTCCTGTCTACTGCTGCCCACCCCCCCAGTGCCTTCCTATTTACAAATTTACTAAATGCTTTCCTGCGGTGTTTAGATGGTACCAGAAACTGACTGGAGGGAGGGCTATGAAGGTGCCAAAGGAGAAATGGCTTTGGGGCAGGGGTGGGGGCACCAGTGAAAGAAAAGCAATCCACTGAATCACAACTGGAAGGATCTTTATGCAGATTCAGTCTGGCTGCAGCCTCTCCTTGACACTGATCTTGATGGATTCTCTTAAGGACCACAAGGAAGAGTGTACCTAGACCCGTTAAAATTATTCATTGATAGTCTTTTCTCTCTCATTATATGTACTTTAGATTTCTTGGGAAATTTTTGAATAATGTACATAGTTCACTTAGAAGGGGGTTCTCTCTATACCACAGGGCTGGTTAAGTACTTTTTTGTTAAAACATAACCTAGATATATACAAACATGAGATGATACAAGAACTTTTTTTTAGGAAAATCCAAGGCCAAAAAAAGTACAAATTTAAAACTATAAACCCAAAAGAATTCCAAATTTCACTACAAAATACTCTGAGATAAATGAAAATGAAAAGAACAAAACAAAACTTACAGGATGCAGCAAAAGCAATACTAAGAGGCCTGCAGAGCTGCAGGTGTGTATGATTAGAAAAAGAAAAATCTCACATGCATGACCTAAGCGCTCACATTAAAGAACTAGGGGGGAAAAGATCAAATTAAACCCAAGGTTAGCAGAAGAAAATAATATGGATTAAAGTAGAGATAAATAAGAGGATAGAAAATCAACAAAAGTAAAGTCTATTACACCAGAAATTGCAAGGTGTTTTTGCAAAAATTAAAAAAAAACTGCTTTTACCTGGACTGATTAAGAAAAAAAGAGAAAGAACTTAAATTACTAAAATCAGATATAAAATTAAGGCATTGTACCAATTTTACAGAAATAAAAAAGATTATAAGGGAATTCTGTGAACAACTGTATGCCAACAAACTGAATGAAATGGACATATTCCTAGAACACAACCCACCAAAACTGGCTCAGGAAGAGAGAACTGGAATCCTCCTCTACCTATAGTAAGGACATTGAATCAATAATCAAAACCTCCCCTCAAAAAAACATCAGAATCAGGAGCTGGGGATGTGGCTCAAGCGGTAGCGCGCTTGCCTGGCATGCGTGCGGCCCGGGTTCGATCCTCAGCACCAAGTACAAACAGAGATGTTGTGTCTGCCCAAAACTTAAAAAATAAATAAATATTAAAAATTCTCTCTCTCTCTCTCTTTAAAAAAAAAAAGATCAGAGATGACTTCACTGGTGACTTCTACAAAATATACAAGAAGAATTAAGGCCAACCCTTCTAAAACACTTGGAATAAAACTGAAGAAGAGAGAATATGCTATGGTCTGAACTGTGTTCCCCTGAAATTTGTACGTGAAGTCCCAATCCCAATACCTTGAATGTGACTATATTTGCAGCAAGACCTTTAAAAAGGTAGCAAAGGGGAGCTGGGGTTGTGGCTCAGTGGTACAGTGCTCACCTAGCACATGTGAGGCACTGAGTTCAAACCTCAGCACCACATAAAAATGAAATCAAGATATTATGTTCACCCACAACTAAAAAAAAACATTAAAAAACAAAGGTAGGGCTGGGGATGTGGCTCAAGCAGTAGCACGCTCGCCTGGCATGCGTGCGGCCCGGGTTCGATCCTCAGCACCACATACAAAGAAAGATGTTGTGTCCGCCCAAAACTGAAAAATAAATAAATAAATATTTATCTCTCTCTCTTAAAAAAAAAAAAAAGTTAGCAAAGGTACTATGATGTAATCTGGGTGAGCTCTAATCCCCTATGACTGGTGTTCTGATTCAAAGAAAAGATCAGGACAACAAACACATATGGAGTAAGGACACAGGGAGAAAATGGCCTTCTGCAAGTCTGCAAGGAGACTTCTGAAGAAGCAATCCTTATCTTGGACTCCAAGACTTTAAGAATTTTGAGGAGATTAATTTCTGTTGCTTAAACTTGCCAGTCCAAGATACTCCCTTACAACTAACACAGAACACTTCCTAACTCATTCTGTGTGGTCAGCATCACCCCAATATGAAAAGCAGATAGAAACTGTTGGGAAAACATATAATGGCAGCAGCACTCCAGAGAAAAACCCCAACATGGTGCCTAACAACCCTCTTTCTCCTCTTTTTTCTTTCACTGGCGCGAAACGTTCCCGCCGGCGCCAATGTTCAAATCCTGCGGGTGGGAAACCTTAGCCCCAATAAGAATTAACTTCTTGGGCTCCGGAACTGACATATGGAAGAGCTTGCCAATAAACGGGTGACCTCAGCCCTGCTACCTCTCCTTAGACCTATATAAACCCACAGCCTTTTGTAATAAAGCGGAACCTCTCCGGTGATCTGTGTCATGTGGTGTCTCCCATTCGTAGTGTGGTGCGGCGTCTTACAGAAACACTGCAAGAAAACCACAGACCAATATCCCTTGTAAATGTATAAGCAAAAATCCTCAACAAAGTACTAGAAACTGAGTTCAGCAGCACACTAAAAGGAGTAAGCACCGTCGTGAAGTGAGATTTACTCCTGGAATGCAAGAACAGTTCAATGTAAAAAATTAATCAATTTAATATATCATGCCAACAGAATGAGGGGAAAATACATATGACCACCTCAATTAATGCAGAAAATCCATTTAACAAAATACCCTTTCATGACAAAACATACAACAAACTAGGGATAGAAGGAAACTTCTTCCAGATGCTAGGGCCATAGGTGAAAACCCAGCTCACATCAGACTCAATGGTGAAAGACTGAACGCTTTTCCTTCTAAGTTCAGGAACAAGTCAAAGAAGCCTACTTTTGCCACTCTATCCAACATAGTACCGGAAATTCTCGCCAGAGCAACTGGAAAAGAACAAGAACAAGAAATAAAAGGAGTCCAAATTGAAAACAGAGTGATCTCTGTTTACAGATGACATGGTTTTATGTGTAGAAAATCCAAAATAATCCACAAAATACTGTTAAGAGTTAAAATTCAGCTATGTTGCAGGTAATAATATCAACACACAAAATCAGTTGTCTGTCAACACACTAACAATGAACAATCTGAAAAGGAAATTAATAAAACAAGTCCATCTGCAATAGCATCAAAAAGAACCAAGTATTTAGGAATAAACTTAAC